AATCTTATCATCTCATCTCTTCTTCTCTTTTCTCATCACGAATCACTTTAACTTTTCTCATATCATCTCATCTCATGTCATCTTATTTCCTCTGTTTCTTCTCTTTTCTTCTTGTCTTCTCTTTTTTTAATTTATTCTTTCACTTCGTTTCATCTTTTAGCTTCTCATCTCCTTTTATTCATTTTATCTTTTTTTCTCTTTTCCTCACATTTCATTTCTTCTCTATCTTCTACATTTTTCTCATTTCCTATTTTGTAATCTCTTTTCAATCTTTCTCATTTCATTTAATTTTTCTGATCTTATCTTCTTTTTCTTTAACACTCTTATTATATTTTACCCTGTCTTACACTGTTTTCTTCTCAATTTCATTTTATTCTTTTTCTTTAAATCTCACCTTTTGGCCTACTGACTTCTTTATATCTCTTTCTAGATCTTAATTTTCTGTTTTTAACTAATTCTTTCAACCCATTCTTCCTGCGACAAATAGAGCATCACTAATCTGTTCAGTGCCCTAAAACTTGTCAGGCTCCTTCGACTCTGGCGAGTGCTGCGCAAGTTAGACCAATATCTTGAGTACGTGGCCGCCTTGCTACTCATCATGATAGCCTGCTTCATTCTGCTAGCGCATTGGCTCGCCTGCGTCTGGTACAGTGTTGGTATGCACGACCTTGACTCCCGGGTGTATCATGGCTGGATTTCACATCTCGTCAATGACACAATCGGTCCAGTGGATTGGCCAAGGGCGGCGAGGCATGGCCCCCTACGAGAAAGTCTGCCTGGGGAGTCCATGCTCTACATAACAGCTCTCTACTTCACGTTGTCCCTCATTACCAGCATCGGTTTCGGCAATGTTGCTGCAAACACGGAAGCCGAGAAAGCTGTTTCAGTAGTCTTCATGCTTATTGGAGGTATCATGTTGTTTGGCCTCAGCTTAGACATTTATCAAACGTCTCTATTTCTATGACACTCTTCTCGATCGCTCCTTCTTTGATGGCTGGCATAGGTTCTCAGAATGTTGTTATGATTTTCACAATTGGCTTTGACAACCAAATTCATGTTTCACTTAAGCAGATCATTTTTTTCACGTTACCTCCACCTAAAGACCTGCATGGTTTACCAGTTATCATTTGCAAAGAAAAAGTAAAATTTTCTTATCTTAATATTTATGTGGCCTAGCATAGTAAAACCATGTAAAATGGAGGTGTAACCTTTCTGAGCAACAAAATTCATGAGTATATTTTGAAATAGTATGGGATCCTCTATCCTCAGAGAAGCGAACTTAGACCGGTAAAACTGCAATTAAACAGTAGCATAGTTATGGAAACAGCCAAAATAACAATAGATAAAGGCACTAGATAA